ACCAGGATGACGCCCTCTCCCCACACAGAGAGGGAAAAAAACAAGGGAGGTTTTTGGCTCACTGGCCCAATGCGCCATGCGCACCTGCCCACAAACAAACAAACAAACACACGTCAAAAAATAAATAAATTTGCAAAGACATTTTATATGATACATGGCGCTGTTGGGAGCTCGCAAAAAGAAAGTCGCTGGAGGCTCCGCAACCACCATCCACCTTCGCATAGGGAGGGAGCAGAAAAAAACGATCAACCGGAAAATAATAAGAAACCAAAAAAAAAACACACCATCTACTCCTAACACTTTTTCTCTTCGCAAAAAAAAAAACACACCAATTAATTCATAAAATGACGGGGCATTCAACAGAACTTGCTACCAGCCACTGACCCCCGTCTGGCGGCGCATGGCTTTCAGAAGCTTCTACTTTTGGTTCCAACTATCATCAAAAAAAAAAATACTGAAAAGGCAATAAATGAAAACAACAGAAAAAGATTCCACTGCAAGCTTCTCATTGTCCTGCTAGTTTTGCATGGCGAAACTCCCTTCCACTCAGTGACTTGGGCGTAATGCTCAGCAGGTGAACGGGCTTGGAAATGCCCTGCAGTTCAGCTGGTCCAACATCCCTCACGCTGATAAACTCGTCCATGCCTCTTGGATCGGTGTGAAAGGAGTGGACCTCCAGCTGTCGCAGATCCCAAGGGCACGGCTCCTCTTTATACGCCGGCATTGCCTCCAGGGCGCTGAATGATTCCTTCGAAAGCAAAATCTCACCACCGCAGGCCACAGGTAGCATGCTGGAGCAGCAATTCACACTGGGGCCGTAATAGTCGTATTGCTGGTGAATGGGGTCATACGAGGCAACGACGTCCACGCAGTGCTGCACGGCCACCCGTATCCGAAGGCCTTCGCTTCGCCAGCATGAGGGGTCACCCCCGCCCTGCGGATTTTCGATCATCTTGAAGCCTGGAGCAATGGGCACCGCGCGCATCGACTCCAGTTGAATCGCCAGCGCAATTTTCATGCCCACAACAATGTCTATGCAGGCAATCATAAAATTGTCCCCCATCACCTTCACCTCATAGGCCTCGTACAAGGCAATGATCGAACGTATCATGGCGTGGTATTTCGTGGTGGCCGTCCCCATCACCACCGCATTTTTGGCCCACAACTCGGTGCCACCCTCAATGGAAGCAAAAAGCAAACAAAATGGTTTTGAGCCATCTGGAACCCGCACGCTGGACGCGTCCTTGAGCTTTCTTCCCATGCCTGAAGACATTTTATCAAGAATAACACCCCACATCCAATGAAATCGGGACTCCATTGGCACATTCCACATGTCCTCCAGAAAATGGGACATGCATAGATGAAGGGTTTGGTAAATGCACGTAGGTCATCCACCTTGACGTTGTAGGCTATGTGCCGTGCCCCGAGCTCCTCCAAAGATTGTCCCGCCTTTTCAAGGTCGTCAAGTATATTAGATATCTCCACAAAGTAATCAAACACACGCCTGCTGGTTCGGAGATCCACGAGGGCGGTAAAACGTGCAAGGCTTGGCTCCATTTCAATGGCTTTGCCGTACAGGACTCCAACAAACTGCTTTCCCGTCTCAAGCCCGTCCTGGCGCTGCTTAATCAAGGCAAAATCATCCTTCAGTCGCTTAGCTATTTGGAGTTGG